TCGTCCACACTAGTTATTATAACCTTCCAAAAAGTTATTATAACCTTGCAAAACTCAGTAGGTGAGCGGTCTGTGGATCCTGTATTAATGTAAGTCAGGAGCGGGCAATGTGTAGCCTGCAGGTTGCATGCAATTCCCCCAAGTGTTTGTCTTCCGTGACACCCTATCATGCAAAAAATTTTCAAAAAAATCCTTCTTTTAAACCTGGGGGGAGGGGGGTCCTTCCAAACTGTATGTGACTTTCATTTATGTTAATTTTTAAGCCCAGTCTCCTTTGGGACCTGAAACAGACTGGGTGGGAAGGTTTCAAAACATGGCAAAAATCATTCATCTTTTTGGAATACAGAGGGGTACAGTCCTGCAAGCTGAGGGGAGTGGAGAGGATATTCAGCCTCTGAATCTGCGAAATTTGCCTACCTCTGATACAGTAAAAAGGCAGCCCTTGACCATCCGTTTTATCAGTTGATTATGTTGCATTTGTTTGTCATCAGCAGCTTCCTCCTAGATTTTAGGAAATCAACCTGTCACAGTTTTTCTGTGTTCCTCCATAATTATCCCAGCGGCTAATAATAATAAATTAAGATTTCACTTAACAACTACTTGTGTTGTGTCATTTAACGACAGCTATCCTTTAGGTACCATGGAATACAGTACAGTATTTGTTTTGTTTTCGAGATAACAGGATTGTAGCACTGGCAAGAACTGTGAAGGGCATTGGGTCCACCGCCCTACCCAAAGCACAGAAACTATGACTAAACTAGTCCTGACAGATAAGGGTTTTGAAATGGGGAGTCCAAAGTACATGCCTGCATTCACCGACCCATCAAGTGTTGTAGGAACGCTTGCTTCTGCTGTGGGGAAATCTCTCAAGCAATTTGGGGAGAGATTTGTGTTGATATCAAGTTGAACACACACGTACCACGTCACAAAGTGGGATAGCCACTTGATGCATATGTAGATTCGGCGACAGTGCTGGGGGTCAGTGCAGCAGCCGACATGCTGGAAAGTGTTCTCTCGAATGCAAGTTGCAAAGCTGGGTGCAAGAACAGGTCGTGATTGTTCTTACAATCTTATCTCTCCCTTAAGCCTTGGTGCTTGGATGGATAAACAGTTGGGTTTTTTTTTCTTCTTTACGTCCCACCCCATGAGCAAAATAGCTGAATGCGCTTTTTCATCTAGCAGAGATGAGACTGCTAAGCAGTGTGCCGGCTTTCCGAAACCTATGACCGAGAGGCAGGTTTATATCCCCAAGGAGAACATAATGCTTCAGTTGTCTTGGATACATGGTGGTGTTATGTAGCATTGTAATCAAATATAGGCCGCCTGCGGTTGCATTTTGGGATTTAAATCTGACCTCTGATCTCAGCAGCAGCTCTGCCGTGGTGGGTAACGTACACTAGCACATGTGGGGAACTCCTGAGAACAAAAGGAAAGAGGGACAGAGAGGGGGAGAGAGAGAAGAAAGAAAGATAACTCGTTGCTTCTCATATCTTCAGGTTTTTGAGAACCTTTGCTGCTGTTTTGTGAGTATTCATAGCGCTTGAAGGCTGAGCAAAAAAGAAACTTCGGTTCAGTTTTGTTTATTTAGTATTCTTCTGGCTTGTCGTGTAATATCGCCAATGCATCGTTCAGAACTTCTGTGCTTAGGAGACAGTTCTCTCTTTTTTATGTTCAAAAGCAGTTTTGATCCACCGTATCCATGTTTAACATGCGGGACAATGGGAGAGGATATTGTAATGACTTTTAGAAGGTGAAATACCAATGTGAAATTAGGTGCTCATGTTCAAATGGTTGTTTTGTGTTTTAGATTGAAGTGCCCGTTAGATCCTGGTACCTTATTTAGAAATTGCTGATCCTTTCTTATGAAATATCTAAAGCACTGGTTCTTAACCTTGGGTTACTCAGGAGTTTTGGACTGCAACTCCCAGAAGCCTTCGCCACCAGCTGTCCTGACTGGGGTTTCTGGGAGTTGCAGTTCAAAAGCATCCGAGTAACAAAGGTTAAGAACCACTGATCTAAAGCTCTGGAACGTCATAAGTTACTTAGCAGAAACCTGTGGTCATGGCCCTAGTGATGAGTAACCTCAAGAACCTGGTGGACTCCGTTTGAATCAATACGTTCTGGCCTGGCTATTAGTTGAGGGTAGGAGTTGTAGTCTGACAGCTTTGCAGTTTCTCATTTCTTCTCTAGAGCCTCCCTTCTCCCACTCTGCCCTCTAGGATGACTGTTTTGCAGTTACAGTTGGCTGGTGATGTTAAAAGAAGCTTGTACAAATTCATGGCAGTACGACCTAGGATATCAATTTCTAGGGAACAATGATGGAAGAGGGCTGTCACACCCGTGTTACATTCCCAGAGCTATCTGGATGGACAATTTAGGACCACAGGTTCTTGGAGTGTTGTCTGATCCATCAGTATTCTCAACCCTTTATAACCTTTATAACCTAAGTCTTGCACCCAAACTCCATTTGAGATGCTGGTAAAGATTTGGTGATAGTTGTTTCATCTTTGGTCATCCTATCCATGAGAGTTTTCACGGTCTGTCTAGGGTGAATATACTGCACAAATGGCCAATGTTCCCCCAGATATCGTTGGACAGCAACTCCCTTCAGAATTAGCACACACAAGGCTGAAAAATAATAATAATTTTAAAAAGGTGTGGAATTGCAGATCAACAACATCTGGAGGGCCATACGTTGCCTGCTCACAATAGATCAAATCACGAGTCTGTTGCAAAACATGGACTTTTTGGACCATGGCTTCCAAAAACTGCCAGCCAAAAAAAGGACAATTTCCAAGTTTCAGACTGTTGCGGTTTGTCAGTACTGTGGTAAGGCAGTTGTCTCTCTTTTTATACATAGTCTTCCCCTCTTATTCTCTTAAACCGGTTCATCCAGGAGGTAACAGCAGGTTTTATCTGATAATAATTACAGGTTTAGCCACCGCCTTCCTTCTCATAGCCTGCCCTCACTTACACTCTTATGTGTACACACGCCCTAAAAGCATTGCAGCATAATGCACTGTTGTATTACATGCCAAAGGTTTAAGTGCTGGTAATGAAGGCATCGTCCAGTTGTACGGCGGCTGATTGGAACAAGCCATGCTGAGCAAGCAGGAAGTCACGGAGGCCTGAGCACAACATTCTGTAGGGATGTGGCAAGTCCTTTGCGTTTGGTCGCCCGCTGTTATTCTGTGCACTTGCTAATTCGGGGAGAGAAGGATGTGGGTGTGTCTTTGTGTCAAAGCGCTAAATTTTGTGAAAATTCCTGCCAAACTGTAATATTGGATGGCGAACAATTTTCTGTGCAAACTTTCTCTACTGTGAAAATTGTAAATATCTAAAAAAATGCTGTTTCATAAAATTTATAACAGTCATCAGTCAATATAATACTACTCCAAAAGTGTAATTGCCTTTTTTTTTCCCCATCAGGTGACCCGAAACTAGCAATTATGTGTTAAAATTAGGGGCGTTCAGATCTGTGTTTCTACAGCCTCCAGAATTGCTCATAACCATAATATCCATCAGTTCAATTCTGTCTTAAATTTAAAAGAAGGAAAATGAAATAATGAGCTATCTTGCAGGGAAACATTTGGTATTTAGGATATAAGCTTTGTAAACCACTGTGTGCTGTACTGTGTATCAGCTGCAGTTTAGGCAGCTATGAGGAAAACAGTGCCATTACTATAGAAACCTTGACTTGATTAGATGTCATAACTCTGCTTGACTCACGGAGATAGGCTGCACATTCCCACTGTGAAATGAAGACGCTTTTATACCCTCCACACAAACATGCACACACGATATAAAGTTGGCTGCTTTGTGGCTTACCAAATGTTTTTGATACAGAATTTAATTAAAGTAGTTGCAGGTGATAATAAAGTGGTCTCTCTTGTTTTTTAAAATTCTTCTTTGGCTATGATCTCCAGAGGTTTAACACATTTGCGGTAAAGTGTTTATAGTGTGTTTTTAATTTAGAGAAACTTGTATATCTTAGTGTTTATCTCCCTTTAGGGGAAGAAGGGATCTTTCAAAAGTGCACACAATAATTCAGTGTAGATAAGAAAAATCATCCTTGGCTGTGTTTGAACCATATGGAGCTTGACTAGCAGACTTACTTGTATATCAAGGCTGTTTTCAGTGCATTAATTGCATGGTGGTAACTCAGTGGCTAGTTATAATCTAGCTGTATATCTTGAACATAGGCTTAGGTAGCCGAGCTCAAGGCTGACCCAGGCAACCATCCTTCTGAGGTTGGCAAATTGAGTAACCAGCTTGCTGGGGGGAGTCATGCATGGCAATGTGTAGCTTGTATAACTGAATTGTTAGACACCCAGAGAGTGCTTTAAACGCTATGGGACTATGTGCTTTAAACGCTATGGCACACGTTTGTGCTTTAAACGCTATGGCACACGTTTGAAGGTTTCTTCTGTTTTAGGATCATAGTTACACAGTAGGTTTTATATTCTAACCCAGAGGTCTCCAAACTTTTCTCAAGGAGGGCCACATAATGTATTTTCGAGGCCCAAACAAATATGCGCATCTGCGCATGCACACACACAGAAAAGTCTAGGTGTGTCCCGCGGGCCGTACTTTGGAGACCCCTGTCCTAACTCATAGACATAACCGGAGACAGGATAACTGGTAGAAAATGGGTAACAGTAAGTGTTACCCATTAATTGTAAGTGAGTTTACAGTCTGTTTTAGTAATATATTCTGGATAGTTAGTTACTTGTTAATCCATTTTAAAAACTGAGTTTTTTCATCTCGGGACAGAACACATTAAAATGAATACAGCAATCACATTTAAATATGGTTTGTATTGGATTGACCACAAAATACATTTAAGAAGTGTAGTATAGTTAACCAATTAGCATTGCATAATAGGAAACATTACTCTGGATACACTTACAAAACAATATAAAAATCTGCCTACTGAGATTTTTGAGAAAGTACATCTCTAGATTTCACAAAAAGCAATGGCCAGTTTTCTGAGGGTGAGACAAAGTATTATATATATTCTTTATGATTTTGTGTGTCTGTGTAATTCATAGTTTTAAAGCTAACTCAGTCATTGTATAGTTTGTGACTGAAGCAGGAAAAGTAATATCCCACTGAAATTTTGGTGTCAGCCTTCCTTGTTCAATGAGCCCCTTTTGATGTCTTGGGGTAGGGTGGCTTTCTGTGGAAATCTCTCTCCATCTTCCTTCTTTTAAAATGGCTTTCTCTTGCTTCTAGAGTAAGAAGATTAAATGGGTCCAGTAACTGGAATGACTCCAGATAAGAAAGCGGAAACGCCCGGAGCCAAAAAGGCAGCAGGGCTACGGCATATCCAAAGAATGGGAAGCCTACCAGAGGAGGCTGTTGATGCAGCTCGCCCGAAGGCCACGGCCGTGGCTAACGAACTGGCGGACGACGAGCTCACGAACTTGAACTGGCTGCACGAAAGTACTAATCTCCTAACGAACTTCAGCCTTGGCAACGAGGGTCTTCCGGTGGTGAATCCTCTGTATGACATTGAAGGTGATCATGTGCCATCCTACCCTTCGTCTGGCTATTCCAGTTCGGAGAAGAAGTCCACCACATCCAAGCCCCCTTATTCCTTTAGCCTCCTGATCTACATGGCAATCGAACATTCTCCAAATAAAAGTTTGCCAGTGAAAGAAATTTACAGCTGGATCCTTGAACGCTTTCCCTATTTTGCCACAGTTCCCACTGGATGGAAGAACTCTGTCCGGCATAACCTCTCCCTCAACAAGTGTTTTCGAAAGGTGGAGAGAAGCCACGGCAAGGTGAGTGTTCAGTTGGAGTGGTTGGATTTAGGTTTTCTTAAAGATATGAGTGCATAGTATTCTAAGAAAATATTGTTTATATATTGTTCCCGGGGGGGAAAAACCAAGCTTCTCTTGAACTAAGGGTTTAGTTCATTGAGAGCTTCAAGAAGATCCTTTTTTGGACTACAATTCCCCAAATCCTCAAGTCATAACTCATTGTGGAGGTTGTAGTCCCCCTCACAAGCAGGTTTCCCAAGTGGACATGAGTGCTCTCACATCCCTTGTAGAATGTCTGCTTTGCTGTATGTAAACATGAACTTCCAGCTTTTCTGTACCTAAAAAGGACATCTTTCCCTTTCTTCACATGAGCTTAATTCAGAAACGCCCTCTGTGCATCCACGGAATATGTGTTAGCAGTAGTGGGGAGGTACGTAACTCTTTGTGCCACCTTTAGTATTCACATTGGCTGTGCCCTCCCATATATAGGGACAAGTGGCCTCATTCTGCATCCAGCTGTTGGCACAGTGTTGCCTGTCCTGGTTGGCAGAGACTCTCTAGGAGTCTCTCCCTGGCTTGGAGATACAGGAGACTGACAGCTTTGTCACTGCATTGGTGTAAGCTCTGGGCAAGAAGTGTATGAACATGCAGCCAGAGGCTGATGAAATTGCTTTTTTTTAACTACCATCCATGCTTATGGAAGTTGTAGTGCAAAACGTGTTCACCTCTCTGGCACCTACTGAGTGTAGCCTTCAGGTGTGATGGCCATAGGAGAAGGGAGCAGTTTTTCTGTGAGTTTTCTGGATCATTTCCTAGTGCCCTAAATAAGCACAATTTATTTAGCAGATTTTTAAAAAATGTTTGGTCTTTATACTTACATTTGGCCAGTAACCTATTGGGTTTCCATAAGATTAGGAAACCCCATCAGTGTAATAAGGCAGAGTCACGCCACTTGCACAGATGTGCTGCTGTGGAAAAGGAGGGCAGGTGTGTTTTTTTTCTTAGCAGTCATCACATGGGCAAGAGCAATGCTTCTGCAAGCATTACCAAGCTGATACGACTTTCCACTCAAAGGAAACCAGTCTCCTATTTAGTATCCCAACAGTCCATCAGTATTTGAACTGAAATATCTGATGAGAAAAAAAATGAATAACTATAAAGCACATTTAGGGCTGAGCTACATGGAGCAATCTGGTGTGGGCTAAATAGGGTCATATAAGCTCACAAGGAAGTCTGGTATGGCATTTGGTGTGATCCTTGCATTCATACAGCATCCACACCTCAAGCATCTTTATTTGTATCATCTCCTATGAAAACATCAAAAACAAAATTCCTCTCTTTGCCTCTTTCTTTCTCCTCTTCCTTCCGGGAGGAAGCTTTCAATTTTTTATTTTTTTCCCCTAAGAGGTATAGTGCATCAGCACTGTCCTAACAGACTTAAAAAAAAGTTTTTGCTTTGTCCTTCTGCCCTTCCATGGTGCTTCCGCATCCCACTGATGGTATACTGGATGAGAACCACAGTTGTAGACACTTGGAGCTCTGAGTCATATTTGTGGAGCACTACATGTTCTAAAAAAGAATCTAAATTCAGGGCAATCAGAGATGGCATCAAAGAGTTTGCTGATGTAATTCTTATAGATTGTTTTTTTCTTAGTAGTGAAGGATAGAGAAGCCACCTTAATTACTCTCTATCAAATTAACGTGCTTTCAGTTCTAACTAGGAGCTATTTCTGTTTCTTTCTGTTGGGGAATACAGTTCCATCATGACTAATAGAACTGGTATCCCTATCTTTGAATTCATTCCTTCTCTCCCAGCTTTGATGATTCAACAACTTATGAAACATCCTTTTAAGTTATCTTGAAAGGTGGTGGACTCTCACTGAAGGTTTTTAAATGATGGTTGGATAGCCACTGGTCTGTGATGCTTTAATTGTGGATTGCCTAATATAGTGGGTGATTGGACTATATGGTCTTTAGAATCCCTTCCTGGCCTACAGTTTTGTGATTCCTTGCCTCCTGAATGTCCCAAGCACTCAGGTTCACTGAATAATCACTGTTTCTAAAACTATGTTACTCTAATATAATGCAGTGGCTGACTGGATAGCTCCCTGATTTGAGTAGCTGGCTGCAGAGCCAGAAGTTGGGAGTTAGATTCCCCAGTGCACTTCCAGGGAGAAGAGCTGGCCTGTGTAGTTTGGGGCAAGTTGTGTAGTCACGGGGCACCCTCAGAAGGAGGGAATGCTAAACCACTTCTGTCTGTTCCCTGCCTAGAAAAGCCTGGAAAGGGTCTCCATTAGTCACAATTGACTTGACAGTGTGTAAGTAATTAATTTATTAATAACCAAGGAAGGAGACAGTCATTTCTTTCCTCCCTCGCTTCACTCTTCATTTGATGACTCATAACGAATTATACAGGGATGCCAAATATCCTTGCAGAAAGCTCCTACCTGGGTACTTGCCTGTTCCTGCCATTTCTTTCCTCACATACGCGTTGAGGCGGCTCAGTTTTGCCAGCTTTGGCGCGTACACCTTGCTGCGTTTACACACTTCTGGGAGGGTTGCGGTTCCTTCGGAACAGCTGGAAACGGCACATGGCGTCAGCTCTGCTGAAGAAACCGGTTATTTGAAAGCTGTGCCTTTTCACAGGGATGGCCTGGTGTGTAAAGTGTGGGTTCAGCTAGCAGCCTGGTTCGAGTTGCCATGGCAGCAATTTCCCTCTTGCTTCGCTGGCTTGTGAGCTGCTGGTTGCGCGAGGCAGAGGCGAGGGCTGTATTGCGGCGGATCCAGTGGCATTTACTGCTTGCTGGGGAGGGTGTGGAGATGATGGTGATGATGAGGGACCCCCCCTCCTTTCTCTGCCTTTTAATCCTAAAGGCATAAGGACATATAGAAGCGTATGTGTGGATTAGACCTAAGCTCAAAAATTACCAGAGGATTCATAGCTGCTTTCTTAGTTGTTCCTGTGCCCGCCCCTTACCCCCCCTTAAAAAAAACTGGTTTAGCAGCAACGAGAGACGAAGTGCTTATGCAATAGAAATAGGATCTATGGGCTGGTCAAATCTGCTGAGATACAAAACATGGCGTTGTTTTGCAGTGAAGAGAGTATTGCTGTGTAGAGGAGAGAGAGAGTGCGCTTTTCCACCTGAGGGCTGGGCTTCAGCCGAAACTGCAGCCAGTTTTCAGGTCGATGTAATAGTGAACAGTGCATGGGCATATGCGCATTCACAGAGACGTAAAGGTACTTTTATCTTCAAGATCAGATGGTTGACCTGTTCTTATCATTGCTGTTTTATTGCCTCTGCTGTACGCTTTTTAATAATTTGATGGATCGATTCACCACTTCTCAGCCTAGGAGCACCCCCCTCGTGCAAGGCACAAAAACATTCACCTGTTTCCCACCCCGTTCTCTTGCCCCTTCAAAGAGTCTGACTTCTCCAAAGAGGAGAGTAATGGCAGAACACTGAGAGATTCAAATTTGGCACCTTTTCCTTGTGGCATCATCAGAACCCTTATTGAAGATCATGATGGGGAGCACAAAGCCTCCAGCGTGCTAGTGGACTACAAATGACATCTCCTGCCACTGGCTATACTGGGCAAGGCTGATAGGAGTTGTAGTCTAGCGATAACTGGAGCATTGGATTTGCCCCACACGTGATTAAAAAGAAAAGAGAGAGAGAATGTGATGGAAACAGTATTTTATTAAATGGACTCTTGTTTACTGAAAGGGAGATCCTGCAAGGCAGAGCTTAGAGGAAAAAAATATTTTTTTTTTAGTTTGTAGTTCCCAGACGTTCCCAGCTGGAATGTCCTCTGAAAGAAGTGACAGCTATCTTCATCATTTTGTTATTTTTTTATAACAAACATCAAATGGACTCTTGTTTACTGAAAGGGAGATTCTGCAAGGCAGAGCTTAGAGAAAAAAAAATTTTTTTTAGTTTGTAGTTCCCAGACGTTCCCAGCTGGAATGGCCTCTGCAAGAAGTGACAGCTATCTTCATCATTTTGTTATTTTTTTATAACAAACATCCGGCAAAACTCACTTTTTAAAATCTGTTTTTATTATCTTCATTGTACAGTGTAAGGGTGCTAGCAGTGAATCATGAGCTCCCAGACAGTGTTTGTTTATTTCTACAGTCAATCTTACTGTATTTAGATAATTTATTGGAGCGCCTGTCTTTGTTGTTCCAAAGGCTCTTGGTAACGACTAGTGTTTGGAAATTAACTCTTCATGTTTGACATTCCTCCACTCTATTACAAATCAGTCCATTTGGGCAGTGGGTAAATCAGGCCTTCCTTTTCTAACATGGCGCCCTTCAGATGCTTGGAATTACAAGTCTTGTATTGCCTGACCGTTACCCATGCTTGGCTAGGGCTAGTGGGAGTTGTAGCTGAAGACATCTGGAGGTTATAAGGTTGGGAAAGTAGACAGATGGAAGGAGTGTCTGTGTTACCACAGCTTGGAAAGGTTAATTCCCCTTCCCCCGAATGGTAGCTCCCACAGTAGCCCATCCAGAATGACTAGTTGTCATCTAAATGGGATTTTTCCCCCAAACTCTGCATGTTACATTTGAGAAAATAAAAAAAAAAACACCTCACACATGTTTTTCTTGACCTTATAAATGTATTACTGCAATATGTGGAGGCATTCAAGAGGAAATTAGATAACCATCTGCTTTGATTCGGACCTCTGTATTGAGCAGGGCATTGAAATCTGTTGCCCTATAGGCCCCTTCCAACTCAGTTATTCTGTGTTTAATGACTAGTTGTCATCTAAATGGGATTTTCCCCCCAAACTCTGCATGTTACATTTGAGGAAAAAAAAAAACACCTCACACATGTTTTTCTTGACCTTATAAATGTATTACTGCAATATGTGGAGGCATTCAAGAGGAAATTAGATAACCATCTGCTTTGATTCGGACCTCTGTATTGAGCAGGGCATTGAAATCTGTTGCCCTATAGGCCCCTTCCAACTCAGTTATTCTGTGTTTCTATGTATTCTAGATACGTTTACTTGTGGCTAAAACATGGCTACCTCTTCCTTTGATACGTCAGCAATTGAATGTGGGGCGTTCTTCAGATAAATCACATGCTTTCTGACTAAAGTGTAGCCCTCTTGTCATCTTACTGATACTATATTCCTAATTTGTATTTGGAGTTCACAGATTTATCCCTTGGTTACTGCTGTTTAAGGGAGTTAAATATCATTTAAAGGAATGAGCTTTCATGGACAAGTCCACTTCTTCAGACATGAGAGTGGGGTGCTAGGCTAATGTCTTTGCCTAGTTTTTGAAAAAGCTGTGATTGCTTTTATTGAAGTGGCTGTGCATTAGGTACCCTAATGCACGGTTTTAAAAAAAGATGGAATGTGAATTTGAAGTGAGGGAGAATGATTTCATATGCAGCCATTTGCTGTAGACGTGGGTCAGAGCCCTCTTCAGATAAATCACATGCTTTCTGACTAAAGGTACCCTAATGCACAGTTTTAAATTCATGGACAGGAATGTGAATTTGAAGTGAGGGAGAATGATTTCATATGCAGCCATTTGCTGTAGACGTGGGTCAGAGCCCTATAAGGGCAATAGCACAGCCGCTGTCTCCCTCCCATGGGCTGTCCATCCACGCATGCAGAGGAGTGCCTGTCATGACAGAGGGAAGAAATGATCGCACAGTTGCCCATCTGCAATTCCAATTCTGGCTTACTGAAGAATGAATAAGAACTTGATGAAGAAGTACAGCATTTATTGGGGTTTGATCATGGATGGTGATTTTTATTATAAAATGAAATGAACAGTTGTTTTCATGTTTATGATCTTCAGCAGCGTTTTTGGGGTGTTGTAATATCTCTGCAGATAAGGCAAGTTGCATGAAAAATTTACTTTTTTTGGATGGTGACTCCTAGAATCAATCCTTCAGTTGGCACGGTCACCAAAAAGTGTTGTAGTCCAAAAAGATAAATTTCGCAAGGTCTGGTTTATTCTTCACACACTACTAATTTTTCACCCCACATCATGGGTAAGAGGAGAGTGAGGCAGGTCTAATTTGCAGCCAAATACTTATTTCCCAAAGATCTGCATAAAGCTATTTTTTATATTTAAAGATGACTGTATGCACATTGCTGAAAATCACTGTGTAAAAAATTATCTGAGGGGTCTTGTGGCTTCTTTTACACTGGCTTATAAGTGTATAACAGGAGAGTGTAAATGGAGTCTATACAGTTATATCAGCTTCTCGGCCTTTTTGCTAAGATCAAATGTAGTTACTGTATATCATCTTGATACCCCTTTAGTTGTCTCAGCCACATTCTGCTGAGTCTTGGAATTTGTATTTCTGTGAGATGCTAAAATCTGTTGAATGCACAGCACTAGAGCTCTCTAGCAGATGATTTTAAGGGTGTGTCTAGACAGGGATTAGTCCTGTAATTTGGTTTAGTGTGGAGATGGAATGGTTCAATCCTTTTCCTGGCAACCACACAACATATGTGTCATTGCAAACCAGCATGCTCCTGACTGATGCCTACTTTTTGGATCCCTGTCAAAGGATATTCCTTTTTTGATGTGGGTAGGATTGCTCTTTTTTGGTCAATTATGATGCATGTGATTGCTGGGATTGAACCAAAGTTAGGGGCTTAAGCTGTCTCTTTGCTTAAGCTGCTGGACGATTTTGAGAAATAGAAAGCTTCCTTCCTGGTCTCCTGTGGAACGGAAGGGAGAGGAAGTTTTCCTTTTTTAAAAAAAATTGTTGCTAACACATCAATGCTTTTAAAAGGACTTATTTCAAAGTATTGTTGATGGACGCTGTCAGCAACAGTCAAAAAGTAATAGAAAGCTCCATCTCTCTTCCCTTCTGTGGGACAGCGGGAAGGAAAAGCTTTCCATTTCTCAAGTGATTTAGGCAAAGTATGGAGGGAGATTTTTTTTATTTTTGTTGTGTTTTCTCCCTTTAAAAGGAAAGAAGATTGATCTAGATTGTGCTAAACAGGGTCGCTTTGTTTAGCATGATTAGACTGATCTAGGTTGGAATGGGTGGGCCATCTGGTTACACCAAACTACAGACCTGAGGATGCCGTAGAGTTGAGTTGCGACAGTGACAGTGGTATCAAACCGCTATAAATGTGTAGTGTAGAGACACATGAGTATGCAGCTGCCATTGCCTCTGATTGTACCCCATGCTAGCATAAGTAGACTGGATACTTGTCCCAATGCCCCACCCCCTGGCCAGCAGCTTCTTGGTGGAGGAGGACTTTATGGAACTGCAGAGGGAGAGGAGGAGGAAGGGGATTTCCTTGCATGAGCATCTGTTCTACATGTGCTGGATGCAGCTATTGTTGTATAAATATGTGGAATGGTGGAAAGACGAGAAATCTTTGAAATGGAAACAAAGGCCATCTCCATGTGGTGGGTCTCAGCATCTTCCACCTTCACGCATCCACTGAAGTTCACTCAACCTTCCATCCTTCTGAGGTTATTAAATTGAGTATCCAACTCAGTACGTAGCCTGCGTAAGTAAATTGTAAATGGCCCTGCCAGTGCTTTAAGCACTATGGGGTGGTATATAAACAGCACACTTTGCTTTTGAAAACAAAACTAGAGAATTCTGTTTGTAACAAGCACTGGTGGTTTGTTTTGGGTTTTTTTTAGGTGAATGGAAAAGGTTCTTTGTGGTGTGTGGATCCCGAATATAAACCAAACCTTATACAGGCACTGAAGAAGCAGCCGTTTCCCTCTGCGTTTGCATTTTATACGCCACCAGCATCACCACTGAGGTAGGAGAATTCAGTAAAAATTATTATTATATAATGCACTACGGTGGGTAGGGCCAGGGTAGAATACACCAAGGATGTCATAATTTCCAAAAATAGGGTGAGAGAAAGGTTACATTCTGGACTGGTTTAGCATACAGCAGAAAGGTCTTTTTAATGGTGGGAGAACTCATAGCTGTGAGGCAGAGCACACGCAAGAGTCTGGGGTTACAAACAGACAGACGTTTCTCCAGTAGTCTGGTCCACTTTTCTGTTTCTGTAGACCACACAATGTGTGTGCCATTGTGAACCAGCCTGCCTTGATCAATGCCTGTCTGCACTTTTTTGGGTCCCTGGTGCAGGTAGGATTGCTCCATTTTGGTTCAGTTCCCAGTTAACGTTCTCTTTAGTTTTCTGGCTGTCTCTTTGCTGAAACTGCTTAACAATCTAGAAAAATGGAAAGCTTCCTTTCTGCTCACTTTTGGAGAGCAAAGGAAAGGAAGTTTTTCATTTCTTTTTAACTGTTGCTGACGTATCAGTGATGCTTTGAAAGTTTTTATTTTAAGCCCTGTTGAAGCATCACTGGTGCACTAGGTCAGTTATCAACAGTTAAAATAAATTGAAAACTTTGTCTCCCTTCCCCCTCCGAAGATAAATGGAAAGGAAGCTTTCCATTTCTCAATATCCATGAGAACTGGAAAGCTTCACCAAAGGGACAGCCAGACAGCTGCTGAACAATCTTGAGAAATTGGAAGCTTCCTTTCTCAAAGGTCTGTCTTGATCATGCTAAACAAGGTCAGTTGACGAGTGTTGTGGATCCTTCTGTGTGTGGAATGTCATCCGAAATGATGTACTGCACCTTGAAGGAATTCTGTTTAGCACGATCGAGACCGATCCAGACCAGCATAATCTGACTATCTGGTTGCACCCTCAGTTTACTTCCTAATAGCTCCTGTAGCAGGTCTGGGAAAGCTGTTCTCCCTACCTTGTTTTATACAGAACCCAGAGAGACATTGCCAAGCAAGCTCCTGGCTAAAGGGGCCAATGAGTAGATGGAGCAATGATTTGGTGTTTTTAAGAAGTTATTATTTTGGGTTGCCGCTCTCAGAATCTCCCAGCCCCTGTGGCCGTTGGCTATGCTGACTGAGAGTTGTAGTTGAAGAACGTAAACTGCTCAGGGTCTGCCTTTAAGGTAGCTTTGTGCAAGTGTATTCTGGTTTTTATCCCATTTGAATGTATAAAGACATCTTTTTTTAAAAAAAGGATGCTTGATTTACCAGGAAGAGCATTCAGATAAAGGGGAAATTGATACTGGTCTGGTTTTTAAGTGGGAAACCAAGAAATCTGGATGGTGTGTGCAGGGGGAATTCTTGATGAGGAATCACAGCATGGCAAGACTTGGAAAATGATTGGAAAACAGAAATTTTGCAAGTACTCAGCAAATTACTATGGTGCAATGCATGGAGGAGAGTTCTAGAAGTGAATCTCATAGCAAAAATATCCATTTTTGCTTTATGCAGCTCAGCTCTATTAAAGCATCAGATGTGCATTAAGAATGGACATAACTCAGGCTCTGCATTTAAAAAGAAACTCCTTAACTGACCAAAGATTGAACGCATTGGCAAAACATCAAGACTCAGATAGGTTTTCAATCAGTCAATCAATCAATCAATCAATCAATCAATCAATCATCAATCAGGAGTCTAAGAAAACAAACTATGTCTAGGCCTACAAATAATTGAAAACCAGACAAACAACATATTTCCAGAAGCACTACATGCATAATAGCTTTTGTGAGGGGCAAAGATACAAATATCCATTGGCTTGGAAGTTTTGGTCCCCTCTTTCCTTCTTAGCTTTAAGAGAACTGCTTTTACAACTCCAAACTCCTCCCAAGCTTTGGAAATCCGTGTGTGGGTGGAGAACTGTGTTTGTGGCCCATTTCATAATTTTAAAGAGATTTCCTATTCCTACCTTTCATGAAATCTTATCCTGCTATTTCATAAGAAGAATGTTAAAATAATGCATGTAGTAACATATAATTAAAAAGGAGCAGATAAGAGAAAAAGAGGAAGATTTGTGTGATAACTGATGTCATCAGCAGGTCAAAAATAGGTTTAAACGCCAGGTGTTGTTTTAAATTGTAGAAGAATAGATTCAAAGATCCTTAACAGCAGTAGTTCTCAACCTCTGTGAGACACCAAGTCTGGGTAAAATTCAGAGTTTGCATAATTAGTACTGATTCATTCTCTCTCAACCTCCAAATCCTCCTGAAAGCGGGACAGGATATCTCATACCTCCGAACTGTTGCAGAGTGTTGAATTTTGGTTAAATTCCTCTAGCTGTGTAGAAGGAAGTGCCATAGCAGAATAGCTTCAAGTTCTCCAAAGTCATCCACCCCTTTTCTCATTAACTGGCACTTACTGTCTCAATAACTCACTCTGAGACAATAATAATAGAAAGAATGAAAAATGTTTCATTTACTTACAGATCAACAGCAAACTGGCAAACATGACTGCTCAGCAACACACCTCAACAGACTCTAGAGAGGAAAAAAAGGAACATTCAGCAGAGAGGCGGGGCTCTCTTTGAATCAGAGGCAGGAGGGAACAATTGGTTAGTGCTGGATAAATTGACAGTCACCCCAGGCCAGAAAGGTCCCTCCCAGCCAAACCTACTAAAGGCAGCATGCGAGATTACAAGAACTCCAACACAACCACCATTTTGCCTGTTTACCAGCTTAATTATGGATGCTAAATGTGCCCAATTGATGCTACTGGGGCTCTACTAGGAATCTGCTTGGGGACTAGTTATTTAGCAACTATTTGCTTCTTCAAATTGCGCCACTGCAGTGAAGTAGGTGCAAGTACTCTTTTGGGTTCTGGCCAATCATAGAATGTTACATGTAAATATCCATCTTGGAGAACGTAGGTTTTGTCATATGGTGGGACTGAGATTTTTTGATAAAGTAGTTGCTGGGATGTATGTAAGACACCAGAAGCTGAGAACTGTTGTTTTGCAGTACGAAGGGTCACCCGGTGGCCCTTGGCCTGATTTCAGAAGCCATCTGTAGGCAAAAGGAAAGTCAAACCGTTGAGTTCCACCAAAGGCCAGCAGGGCCCACAAATACTGTTGTCTGGGTGGTGAGGCTGTTTGAAGCAGCCAAAAGTACTGAAACTTTCTCCCTGAGGTAGATTTTGTTCACGGCTGCGGGAAGGACACTTGGCTTCCAGCCCCCCCCATTCCCAAAATAGACTGGAATGTAGCAGAAATTCCTGCCAGAAGGGCTCTCATTAACAGATGCTCGTTACAGAGTTCTGCTCAAATCTCTTTGTGGAAAGTCATTTGAGGGTGGCCTAAAAGGATGCAGTGGGTTTTTCTTTTTCTTGTTTTTTTCTTTGAATGAAATTCTTTTAAAAGTCTTTTTAATATTTAGTGGTGTTTAGCTTTAGAAGGTTTTGTACATTTTTGAGCAGGGTTTTTTGGGGCTTGTGCAGGGAGGTTGGATTGGAGTATGTTGCCCAGCCAGATTGGAGATTGAAACTGGGAGAAGATGGGAGGTAGATTCAGATGTTCCCTTCCAGGTGTAATCAACACACTTGCAGAGGTTCAATCAAACAAAAATAAATAAATAAATACAATTCCCAGTAGTCGTGCTTGCATGTAGACTGTAAACACAAGCAGGAACCTCTTCTCTCTCTTCACCTTTGTTTGCTTGTTTATATACCGCCTAATTAGTGCAAAACACTACACTGGGCAGTTGACATTATTATACAAGACCAAAAGCGCTTCCCTTCCCCAAAAAATCGCATAAATGAATGAAAGAAAGAAAAACCTCAAGAAAAACCACACACATTCATGCCCAGCTGGTATCGTGCTCACAATTTCTGCAGGGGGAGAATCTCTTTTAAATTTTCCTCAGAAGGGTCTTAAACCATTTCTTGAAGGCTAGGAGGGAGAGAGCCTGACGGATCTCCACAGGGAGACTTTTCCAAATATGTGGGGCCACTACCAAGAAGGCTGAGCTCCTCATGGAGACCTTCTTCTCCTCTGGAGTAGCCACCCATAGGAGACCGGCCTGCATAGAATGGGTGAAGCGAGCCGATGTTCTCTGGGGGAGGCAATCCAACGCATGGAGAAAGCGATGATGGCTGAAGAGAAGGGCTAGGAGCTCCTCTGCCCAGTGTGATGATTACAGTGTGGGAAGCAATGGCTGGAGAGAAAGGCCAAGAGAAATTCTGGCTCCAAGGAAAGGGATAGGAAGCTAAGAGCACAGAACCATCCTGCGCTTGCTCATTAGCAGAGTTTATAGTCCTCTAGATTATGAAGACCTGGAGTTAAAAACTGTGGACAGAGGAAAGTACCTCATGCCAGGTCAGATTATTGTCCGAAGAGCCCCATGTTGTTTGAGCAGATATGCAGTAGTTCTGCCCTTCCAGAAGTTGTTTGCCTGCAAGTGCCATAATCCTTCATCGTTACCTGTGCCAGGTAGGGCTGATGGGAAGTATAAACCGAAGACGTCAGGAGAGGTGCAGTTGCCGGTTCTTCCCGTTGCCTGATGTGTGGCCTTGTTTTTCACTGGAGATGCCAAGCCTTTATCTTGAGACTGGTGATCTCTGGCCATGACCTTCTGAAATAACAATGGAGACTGGGTCCCTTTCATACCGCAGTGCTCAAAGAAAGCTGCACGCTTGCTCCAATCAGTGAGCCAGGGTGATAATTTTCAGGCATATTTTGTTCTTTCAAAGTTGAGAGGTATGCTGTTTTGTTTTGTTTTGTTTTATTTTCTGTTTAGAGTGAGAGAAGTGCTTTGACAGAGGCTACCAGGGCGGTAGCTGCCTCATGCCTGTTGCTGGCCCTTTCCCCTCTCTCAGAGGACAGAGTTGTGTATTGCACAAGCCTGTCATGCACTACCTAAAATGCCCTGCTGCCCTCTAGAGTGAGGGGGGACTTTGTCCCACTGCCTGCCTTGAAATAAGAGCCATCAACCACTCCCGTCAGCCTTTGGTCATGAAATGGAGGGATGCACCATCTTGTCTTTTGTCTCAGGCAACCAAATGTTTTGGAGTAGCCCTGTTAGGTACACATCTGGAAACACACACGCCTCTCTCTCTCGCTCTCTCTCTCTCTCTCTCTCTCTCTCTGTGAACAGGGCTCTGTCTGCAATGAACAGAGTTTGGAAATCAACTCTCAGTTTAGGATCTTTCAGGGTGGTTCCCGGCCCAGAGCCTGCCATTTTGGAGTAATGGCAGAGGTGGGGAAAAATACGTTAGAGCACATGAGCTTCATTTTGGTTATCAAAGACTGTAAACCCTGCGGTTATTTTCTCTCTTTTTCAGTGGTTCTTCATCTCCTCACTACTTAACCTCAGTTTTGAAACAGAGTCAGGGCGGATCTATAAAAGGTAAGTGTGAAAGCTGCCTCCTAATTTTTACTGCTCGTTTGCATTAGAATATTCTTAAATGTCTAGGTCTGGGGCCCAAAATAGATGCCGTGGCCCAGTTACTACTTGAAGACGTGGAGTGATTTGCGGTCATCCAGCGTCGCCAGACCCAGTGTGGTGCAGAAGGGCGACCAGTGGTCCCCAAACTTGCATTTAGTGCAGCCAGCCGTCACCCATCTGGCAATTTAGGATTATCAGACCAGAAAATTTGCACGTGGAAAGGTAACCATGAAAGTGTCCTTCTCCCTTTGGTGAGGTGTTAATTGCATAATAAGTCACACACTAGTTTCCACTGGTGTTCAATGGACATCGAAGGAATGGTGGTGCTTCTATAGTTAATCCATGTGCGTTCTTCCCCAACAGGATTCTAGCCACAGTATTCTGGCCTCAGTCTCATATAGGCGGCTCTTCTTGTGTCTCCCTTCCCCAAGTCTATTTCAGTCCTTTGTCTCTTGCACCAATACCATCTCAACTTTACTCCAAATTTCATATATTTTTTACAACTTTATTTACAATCATGATTCATCTAAATCTTAATTTATTTGGCATGTATTATTCATGTCATGTAGCATTTCAGCCTGTGCTTCCCATCTAACCCCCAGCCCCTGCCCTTGCTTTGTTTTTCCAACAGGCTGGCTATTCTGTCTGACTTGTCAGTTAAATGATGAAACCCTTAGAGAAAACCTGGGTGCTATGCAGGATCCTCCTCATATACTTTTAATTTGCTTTTTTAATTCCAGAGTGATATGATCTAGGATGTAGATCCTATCCCTGCTCTAGAAATCCCTGTATCTGGAATCTCTGACCTTTGTGCTGAATGTCGGTTCAAATTATTTCTGCACTGAAGCTCAGTAGCCACAGCAATCCAACTCTCCCTGTTGTTTGTCCCTGCTCTAGAAATCCCTGTATCTGGAATATCTGACCTTTGAATGTGCTGGATGTGGGTTCAAATTATTTCTGCGCTGAAGCTCAGTAGCCACAGCAATCCAGCTCTCCCTGTTGTTTGCTCTAAATATTGTTTTAAAAGTACGATCAGACTTTAAATGACTTCTCACTGGTGCTTTCTTGTCCTTTCTCTTTCAGACTCAGATATCGATGCTGCTACCGCCATGATGCTTTTGAATACTTCCATTGAAGAGAGCATTCTAGATTGTAAGTGCAAGAGCTTCTACCTCCTCCCCCTTTGAACAAATGTTGATATTTTTAAAAAGTCCTTTTCCAGTGTAAAATTTTAAAAGTTTGCCTCCGTCAGAACAACTGATGATTCAGAAAGGAAAAGAAAGCATGGAGTTGAGTTTATTTGCTAATTAGGTACCCAGCGATGTTTTGTGGATAGAACGAAGGACTTGGGGTTCAGGAGGTCCGGGTTGAAATCCTTGCTCACTCATGGAAACTCGCTAGAGATTGGAGTCACCCCAGGCCAGAAAGGTCCCTCCCAGCTCGCTCCATAAGACGCACCTTTCCATAAGACGCACCAATTTTTTAGGAGAAGAAAACAGGAAAATATAATGTGTTTTCTTCACTCCATAAGACACACAGACTTTCCACCCCCGTTTTGTGGGGGGAAAGTGCGTCTTATGGTGCGAAAAATACGGTACTTTGAAAGACCTTATTGCTGCCGCACTAAATGATTTCCGACATGATGGCACACAACATATGCCAGAGTTGCTTTGTTCCTCATTAAGAGATTTCTGCTTAAAGATAATGGATTTGGTAATGATAGAAAATAACGACCACATCTCCTGAGTAAGGCACATGCCTTACTCGCCAGGAAGTGTGCCTCAATGATAGAAAATAACGACCACATCTCCTGTTCTGCACATGCCTTACTCACCAGGAAGTGTGCCTTGGGCATGGCATACCTTCCCAATTTTTAAGCCAGTGAGATTTTCAAAGTGGTGTTAGAAACAGTGATTGATGACCCAATCATCTACATGTCTGCTGAGATCTAGGTCCTATTTAGCTCATTGGGACTCACGCCCACATACAGGATCGTAGTCTGCTGCAGATATGGAAAAAGCCAATTGAATAGTGTTGAATGTGCTGGAAAGAAGACAGCCAGTATTGTGATGCCATCAGACTTCATATATCTGTGGCCACATCTAGAATACTGTGTATAGTTCCATCTCCCTTTTTGCAAAAGGCCAATTCAGTTGTTTGGTGTCCATGCAGGCTGATGCACTAAGAGGGATGGGGAGCTCACCCAGCTGTCTGCCATCATTTTCCTCATTCAAAATGTCAGGTCTGAAGAGGGCATACTGGTCAAGCCTATGAAGACTCTCCAAGACAGGGGGAGCCCTGGGGAACTGAGGTTCTGAGGCTTATATTGAGCATCTTCATGAGTTGATCAGTCTCCGCTCTTGGGGAGATTGGTCAATTTGCAAGAGCCAAATGACGGTGGAGGGGGTGGGTTTACCTTTGCTGTCCTTCTTCATCCAGCTACTGAATAGGACAAAAGTTATTTCAGAGCAGGAAAAGAGCTTTGTTGGGTTCCACTGTGCATGCGGCACTATCTTCTCTTACTTATTAATGTTGTTTTTATCATTATATTGTCATGTGTGGTGTTTTAAATTTATTTGGGAGCCAAACCCTCCTGGACACAGAGGTCTTCGTGGGGGTGTGTCATAGTCTTGCTGTCCATTAGGCTCTATAGAGAGCACCTCCCAAAGAACTGTGACTCCCAGGAAGCATCACAATAGTTTTCTTTTACAAATTAACAATAGGCAGCAAAAGTCAGAGAAGGCAATAATAAGGGTAAAATAACTGAAAGTGCTTCTTTAAGAGGGGAGGAGAATCTACAGGTGAGCAGATTTAGGTTTCTGAGCTGCACCTCCCAGAATTCTGCCCGGTAAATTCTGGATATTGCAGTACAAAATCACAAAGAAGTTTCCTATTGTTTAGCTATCTTCAATCTCAATCTTGAAACAAGGGCCCATGAATATCAACTGATAAACAATTTTCATCATGTGGTCTCTGTTTTGGGGAGAAATCTCACATTTTCCCCAGTAATTTGCTCTCCATGACACCATATCCAGCGGTTGAGTGGGAATATTGCATTCTAGAAGAGTAACTTTTCCAAATTCTCACTAAGTAAATACTTGCAGGGTTGTGTTCAGAGCAGTCAAGAGCCTTCTGTGTGCAATGCGCTGCCCTGATACCTTTTTTTTGAGGGGGGTGTCCTTCCCCCTAACAGCTTCCAGTTCAAATATCAGCCCAGAAGGGTTTTAAGGTGAGAGATGTTTGTGGAGAAATTAATGGCCTAAATCTCATTGTCATTGAATCAGTTGCTGTATGGCAGATCAAATTTGATAAGAAAGAGCCAATTTTGATAAGTGGCCACGCTGGTAGAAGAGCTTTGGGAGCTGAAGTCCAAAAAATAAAAAAATAAAATAACTTCTCTGCTTTACATTGCATCTGCTTCTGATGCCATAAAAGTAGAAACGTGGCCCCTTCAACTGCATTGGCTGTTCATCTCAGTTTATAATAAGATGCTCTGTTTCTGTTCAGGTGAGAAGCCGCCTCCTATCAAGCTCTCCAAGAAGAGAAATTACAGCAGCATGTTCCATAATCACACCACTGCCAGCCGGGACGAGAGCGATTCGACAGTGGCCAGTGTGGACCCCAAGGCAGACCACAATTATAGTGCCAGTGGTGTGGCCTCAGAGTGCTGTGGCTCCTTCTCCAGTGTGTCGTCTCTCTCCTCCATGGACGAGGTGTATGAATTTGTCTCGGAGGCCAGCCGGGCAGGGAGCGATGGCAGTGAAGGCTTCCACAGTGAAGGAGACACTGAAGGAGAGGACGATCACGAAGAGGACGACCCCCTCGCAGACAGCGGCTACACCTCGCAGCCCTGCGGTGAGGCTTCAGACAAGGCCCCACCTCGGAAAAAAGCCCTGGAGGAACTCTGTCAGGAGATTGACGAGGAACTCAAAGAAGCTGCTGGGTCTCTGCTTCACCTCGCTGGGATCAATACGTGTCTCGGATCTTTAATAAGTACTGCAAAGACCCACAGCCAGAAGAGGAGGAGGAAAAATGATGACGTGGCATGAAAAGATAACATCTATCGATAATAGATCTAAATGCATATTTTATTTTTTATCGTGGCAATACTCTTCTACTTTTTTACCCTTCACAAGGGAGATCCAAGCCATAAACGGACTTTTTTGTTTGTTTGTTTTTTAATTTCTTCAGATTAAGGTTTTGGGGGTTGTTGTTTTGTTTGTTTGTTTGTTTGTTTCGGCAAGCAAGTTTCATTTTGTTTTCAAAGTGTCGTGGTAAGGGTGATGGTTCTTAGGCACTGAAGAGGGACTTGGAATTGTGCAAAATAGGTGAAAAAGGAAAAGCCCAGTCACACCCCTCCCTTCTCTCATCATTTCAGCAAAGTTGAATCTTCGAGATTATTAGTGGAATGTATTCTCGAAGGCCAAAGAGCCCGAAAAACCCACAACAACTATTAGTGGAATGCTTGGCTTCATACAGGTGTGCTTGTCTATATCGTCTAACATGCTAAAGATGGTCTCATAAAGTTCTTTGGGTCAATTGAAAAGAGAGGAATATGCATGGGCTGGAAAGGAAGTATGTCCACAGAGTACTTCGCAGTACCTACCTATCTCATATCCAGGCCCAGTGGAAGTTTGGAAATTGAATCATGAGCCCTCTCCCCAAAATTGGATATGCAGTCTTTGTTTTTCTCTCATTTTGGAAAATTAACTCTTGAGCAATCGAGGTGCATGTGTTTGCATTTTACACAATGGAGGCTTCTTCTGTGTCACTGTTAGCCTTCAATATCGGGCCGTAGAGATCAAGCAGGCTGGGAGAATATCTCTGTAATGCATAGCAGTTTGAAATTATGTGGCCTATCAGGGCTTCTTCCAGTGGAATCCTGGGATTTTTAGTTTGGTGAAGTGCTGAGAATTCTGGAGCGCTCTAGTGCTCTAGATTAAGAGACAGTACTAGATTAGGAAACAGGACTCTCTGCAGAACATCAGTGAGCTGGTGGCTGTCTGATGTTCTACAGTTCCCAAAATCTTTTAATAGCTGGCCAGGTTGGATGAGACTCCTGGGTTGAAGTCCAAAACATGGGGGGGGTGTGGGGAGGAAAAGATTGAGAGCCATTATGCTAGATGTCTGTAAACAGAGAATTCTAAGTTCTTCACCAGATGGAAAGTCCAGGATGGAGCCTTGATTGTTAAAATTGGTATCAGACAGTTATAACTATATAGCATAGATGCACTGTGGGTGACTTGAATATTATCTGTTCCAAAGGAACACCCAACACACAATTGTCAGGAGACGGTGGAGGGTAAAAGAGACGGATTGGTCGCCGTCCCTCACTCTCATTGCTTATTATGGGCTGCATGGGACAAGAGCTCCATCTGTGCTGGGGGGTCTAGAACACAAGGCTGGTTGTGACTTGGGACACCTTTCTAAGGTCTTATAAAAGTAAAGGCAAAGACTTTCATCACCTTTTGTTTCCATTAAATCATAAACTTTTGCAAGTTGAAGGTCTACAATAATGTAAGAGTTTAAAAAAAACTGCCACTGTGGATCAGTTACTGATTGTCTAATAATTTTCAATTATAAAATAGAAAGGGCAAAGGGAAGAAATCTAATGTAATTTGGATATTTTTGAGAATTTGCATGGTTAATCTATTAGAATCTTCCACCTTGAATTTTCTTCCTATTCATAGCATAAAGTAAGGAGCTGGTTCCTTCTGTTGTGGTGCTTTTGTATAGTTTTTTTTTAAAAAAATATGATTATTATATCATTCTCTGTGACCCAGAGATTTATTTGCAAACCCAAGAACCTTATTGCTATGTTATGACCCAAATTAATTTGAAAAATAATAATAATTGTGAATGACTTTTGCACACAGAACCTGTGCTTAGATGTTCAGGTAAAGCCTAATGTAATGGTGATTTATTTCCTATTTTTAGGTTAAGGTAGTGGATGCCAACCTGGCTCCTCAGATAAGTGGTGTGCTTGTTTTGGGCAGAACAGAAGGTAGGAAACCTTCCCCTTCCTTCTGGACAACAACTCTCAGAATCCCACAAGCTATTGGCTGTGCTAGTTTTGAGATACTGGATTTTGTAGTCCAAACAAGAGCAGCATTTTCTGTCTCTGGGCTGGGATCAACATTCCCTCTAACTTTCGGGAGTGCTGGGCAGGGGCTCCACCCCGTGTGCACAGGGTTCTGGCGGTGACTGAAAATAAATGGGCAGCAACTGGCTTGGCTGTGCGGCCCTGATGCAGCGCTGTGCAGTCACGCGAGCACGGAGCTTAGAAGGAACGTTGGCTGGGACCATTTTGCACTGGAAGGGCTCACAGGAGTCTCTGTGCTGTTCTGTAGGAGACAAACAAGTAGGAATGCAGATAGAAAACTAGATACTAGGGATTCTAGCCCAGGCTACTCCCAGCCACCTATTTTTCTAACTGTAGGAATTCCTGGTTTCCCAGTAGAGCAGCTGGCCGTGTGAACAAACACAGACTGAGGTGGTCCAGTCTATAGAGGTGCACCACCAGATAGGGCTGCCAGATGCTGCTTTCTGAATGCATTCCAAAGTCACGTGAAAAATAAGTCTCCCCACCAACTTTGTGTTTCATTTTTGCCCTTAGTGTCTCCTAGAAGTCAGTATACAACAGGCAGCCTTAGAAGGCACCATTTTAAATACAGTACCTTTGGATATATATACTCTCTCACACACATACACGTTACTTAGGTGTGGAAAGGAGTTCAGAAGATATGTGGTGTAAATGCTGAAGTGTTTCCCATCTTTTCAGGTTAAGAGCAGAGCTAGGAAGAACTGCTCTTTGGAGCCAAAGTCCCAGCTGGCTAAGCAGGATAAACTGGGTATAGTGTTTCAAAAATAGGTTTCCAAACAGTGAGTAGGAGTAGCTATTGCAGAGAAATTCTGACTAGGAATTGATTGGGAACAGCCAGAACAATGGCTTTCTTTTAATCCTGGTCGTTCAAGAGATCTTTGCCAAGCTTTGTCAAAAAGGTTTGCTAGATTAGTGGTGTACAATAGTGTTACTATCAGCCCTACTCAGTCATTAAGGAAGGGTGTGAGCCACTTGCCTGGAGCAGAGTCAGGAGCCCCAGCCCCTGTGTTGTGATGGTAAGCACAGAATTGTGACAGTCTGAAGAAGAGGAGGCTCTTGCACCCCGATAGCTGGTCTATGTGAGCCATCCTTCTGCTCCAATCACATGGGAAGGCTATCTGGGGAAACTAATCTTCCTTGTTCGGACTATACCGTTTCCATGTTCAGAATGATGATGGAGGGGATGGGAGCGGTGCACTTTGCATTGACGCTTGGGGGTTCCCAACATGCTGAATAGAGCTCTTTGTATATGTAAGACATAAATTGCAAAAGGCCACCTGTGTATAAATCCTAAGGGGAATTGAACTACACATGTAGATATACAACAGAGCTTGGACTACAGCTCTTCATACCCCTCCCATTCCAAACAGGTAACTTTTTGAAGATTGTGTCTGGACTCATTTTTAAATTCAATGTGTTTTCTGTGAGATAGTGGAGTTCTGTCTTGGAGGTGTCCTCTTTCAAGTGTATTTTGCCATTTTGTATGTTGTACCATAAGACAGCTAGAATCATCTTGCATAGCTACCTAAAAGGTGTAACTTTTGGAGGTAACTTAAGCAGTTATCATAGACATTATCAGTTGCATGCTGAGTCACAAAACTCAATTAGCAGCAGATAATATCTATCAGTTTTTAAACTTTGGGCAGTTCACCTCCAAAAGTTGCACCATTTGTATTCTACTAGAATAACTAGGCAAGATGATATAGGCCAATGTACATGCACATCTGGGTCACCTAAGAAGGCTGCTGTGTGAATGTGCAGCTGGAAAAAAGAAACACCCTTGCCTATAAGAAGACCAGTCTGCTACTGTTCAGAGTTGAGCCTATTGTCCAAAATAGTCTTTTGCTTTATCTTGTTATTCATGTTGTGTGTTTTGGAGCTCAGATTCTGGAATAAGGAGCCTGTTCCAAATGGGCTGCGTGAGAAGTACTAATCAGAATCAGAGCTAAGGCAAGATTTTTTTAATTATTTTTTTTTGACTGCTGAATAAATTTTGGGCTCCCCAGGTTCTGGAAGTTCAGTCTAGCAAGGTAATTTTTCTAAGCTCTGATCTGAGATAAATTTTAAAGAAAGTTTTGCTGCTGAATTTTGTGATCATGCCCCAATCCACTGGAATCCTTTCCTGCATGAGCCCCATTGAAATAAACGGAAGTCTCTCCCAAGAGGCTCGGCTATGTTCTTATGCAATTCTTACTCCTTCCGATGGATGCTCATGCAGAAAATATCTCGGTGTAATGAGTCGCTGCCGTTGTGTCCTGTAGTTCCAAGAAAGCCTTGAAAATTGTGTAACGATCAAAGCGTAAGTGTTGCTTGTTCCGCCTCATTTGGTGGGGCAGCTGGATGTGCCATTGAACCTTCACAATTCTTCCCTGTGTTTTCAAGCGTGAGTGAGAAATGGAGAGAGAGAGAGAGAGGTTATGGGAGGGAGCCAGTTAAACAAATCTTGGGCTGGGGTGGGGGGTGAGTCCAAATTACAGGTCATCAACCCAAATTTTTCTTTTCTTTCAGAAATGAAACAGCAATATGCCTATAAACATCACAGAGAATTTCAGCTTCTTCAACATATAGTATTGTGTCAGGGTTTGTTCATTTGTGACCCTCCAGAAATAGATGGGATGCAGCTTCTCTGTGCAGCATAGTCTGTGGTGGAGGATGATGGGGGAAGCGTTTGTAGTCAGACAACATGTGGATGTCTATGGGTTCTCATCCCCTTGCTTGAAGCCACAGAGGGCAGTGCCCATCAAAATGGAAAATACTTGTTTAGCCAGTGGAATAATTTGACCTGCTTCGAAGCAGGTTCCTGTATTCCTAATTTCTACCTCCAGGTCTTCATAATGCCTAATCCAGAGGACTAGGAACACCAGAGTCCAGGAATGGGAGATATGTGGGCGAAGTGTGTGTTTTTGTGAGGCAGTTTGTTCCCATTGTAAGACCCCTGGCCATATTCCTGCTGTAGCTGTAATCAGGGTTTTAATTCTACTGCCTCTTCGTGAACACTGCCTCCTTGTATTGCATATGAGCTCTGCCACTATAATTGTTTCTGTAGCAACTCTGTAGAAGTCCAAGGACATTGGGCTGTGAACCGATTCTGCATTTTCTTCTTACCTCTTCTGGGACACGAGGTAGTGAGCCCTTCCCCATGTGCTTGCTGGAACCCAAGTACAACAGGTTAAAAAATATTGGCAGATGTTCACCCAGTGTTGGCCTTATGTTTTAGGGGCCTACGTAGCATTTTTTTAAATATGCCAGAATAAACTTTTCATTCATTAAAACTGTAGCAAGCTGTAAATGCCTCTACATTGTAATCACATTGCTAATTTCTAGGGGTGGGGGAGAAATGGAAATATATAATGCATGGATGTTTGCACGTTCACCTGTTTGTACAAACTTACTCTGATGTTCAGACACACATGGTGCTTGTTGTGTTATGTCTCCTGCTTTTCCTTTAAACTCAGAGACCCTGATGCGTTGGCCAAAACAAGTTTCTCTTTTCTGTGTTGCAGTTTTGCTTCCCAGAAGTTCATCTGCAAGCCAAAATTCCAATGTTTAGTAGTAACATTTCTATATGTTCATGTTTTGTTTTTAGTATGGGGTTGTTGATATAGAGGGCAGATGCATAGACGCACTGGATTGAGACTATTTAAGCCTCTTAATTCACGTTTTCAAGCATGCCCATGTCTTTCAATTGTTCCTCTTTTTCAGAGGAAAGACGCTTAAAATAAGCAGGGGCACAAAAAACTGAAATCTAGCCGCTCTGTAATCAGTTCTCATCGTGAAGTATTCCACTTGGAAATAGATGGCAGAAGATTTGATAGAAATGCAGCAAAAGAGGAGTGTCTAAACCTGTGAATCATTCTAGTTCTGTATCTTCATGTCCTTTTTCTTTTCTTTTTTGCTACAAAGCTTGGAAAAGTAACTTTTTCTCTAAAACCTTTTTTTTTTAAATTTACAATTGCCAGAATCCGTTGGTCATGCTAGCTGGGGGGGGGGATTCTGATGTCTAAATAACATCATTTCCAGACTTTGCTTGTGAGCATGCCTTTGTACTCCCTTAAGTGGAAACCGATGTACTGAGTGGTCCTGAGCACCTGGCGCATGGGCATGAAATGTGAACCCACTGCTTCCAAATGGGCAATCCTGTATAGTAACTGCGTATCTACTTTTAAAGACTGCTGTGTTGTCCTGTTTGTGGATCAAACATGTCCTTCCCATCTACTACTTGTCCCCAGTATGTGTTGAATAACTTATGTGATGTGAAATTGTATTTGTTGCAGTGCTGAGAGCAGGGCTGTCTGTGCACCTGTTGGATGTCAACAAGAAGTATATTTGGTGCTGACTCAGGCTAGCCCAGTTTGAAAATGGAAGCTACTTTTCCCTGGAAGAGTTGATATAATCAGTTTTGTTGTCTTCCATGAGAGCTGTTATATGTTCTGTCTGTGGTCTTTTGCTCTTTGCCCCCAGAAGAAGGTGGTAGGTGCACAGTTGTTTCCCTGTGTCCTTCCACTCTTACTGACCTGTCTCTAGTCATCCTTGTACTAGAAAACATATAATGCTTGTTTGCTCTAATACCACTTTCCCCGGTATTTTATGTTACACCACTATACCCCATGCCTTAGGGTGAGAATAAAACCAGTTAAAAATCTGAATTAAAGGACTGCAGCTGGGACAAGACAAGAACTCGGGCTCCTAATATTGGAGATCTGAGTGGTATATTACATAAAATGGTTTGAAATACACTCCCGGAATTAGAATTTTTTCTAATATATCAACACCTCAGAGTGCAATTTAAATGCTCATGGAGCGTTTCATGCTGTATTTTTTTTAAAATGTGCCAACACCCCAATTTTGAAATAGTCTGGTCTCAAGTTTTCCATTCTCTGTAACGTGTTGTAGAGCAACTTGGATCTGTGGGACGAATATTTCCTCTTTGCTGTATTCACTGAAACCTCTGTGTCTTCCTGGGCTCAGCGTTCAGAATCCACACAGAGCACTGTTCTATCACATAAGAGCTACCTTCCTCGCTTTTGTTCTGTTGGCTGGGGATGATGGGTGTTGTAGTTCCAGTGCTTCTGGTGGGATCCCAGGCTGATCTCGGGAAATGCTAGAATCTGTTGGCCCAGATTGATCCTTCTCCCAATTTTCTGGGGAAGTTCTTTTTTCCGTTAGCGTGCTGGTTGGTTAGCCCTGCCTCAGTTGGGAACGATTGTGGTATGTTTGACTAGAGGGACAGATAAGTATTTGTAGTAATTTGCCACCTATTCCTTAGCTGCCCATTGCCTTCATTCTACAGTCTTTACCTTCTGCTTATTTCCCACAGTTCAGCTAGAGAGTGACCATGGGACAGATAATTTAACAGGATTAGAGAAATGTGGTTGACATGGTGGCAAGGCTATATGTCCGTGGTTTTTCTTGGCTTAAAACACTAAATTAAAAGCATTTGTTTTTTTAAAAAATTGTTCTAATTGTTGAAGGGAGAGTCCACATTTTCGTCTTTCCTTCCAAAGAAAAGTCTCTAATATAGAAAATATTACAATTGAGTGCATTTGCACTTACCTTTTCAAGAGCATTTGAGTCCTGAAGTTACACCAGGAGTAACAACCATTCTTCTTCTCTAGAAAATATGACCTTTTTATATTGGCTCCCTAACCAGAAAAGATCATTGTCTGTTGGAAGAGTAACAGTACAGACTATGTACTGTTGCTTGTTGAACTGTATATGTTCAGAATGATGGTGGAAGTTCAACATAGAAAACCAGTGTTTCTGGGAGAAAATGAGGTGGGATCCCTTTCTGGCTACAGGGAGGTTGTGTGAGGAGCTTGCTTTCCTGAGGCAGTCTGAAACATTGTCCCAGGATGACTGTATCACATCCTGTTTTCTTGCTGCGTACCTTAGCCCTTCGTTACCCATGTACAGTATTTGCTTGTTACCGGAAGAGAGGATAAAAGACAAAGTGGTTGACCATTCACTCAAATGGAAAGGATAAAGAAAGCAAGTTCTTGTTTTGTAGAAGATAAAGTAGGAGTCATTGTATTTAGTTGTTTACATCCGTCATGGCCATAATCTCTTTGAAGGAAGAGGTTGTCTGCAGGGTTGTGTTACTAAAGCTGCATTTTAAGTGGAATGATTACCTGCAGTGTTGCTTTTTCACACACATAGCTTTCTGTTGGGTCCTCATGTTATGTTTGTTCCTCTTATCACCAGAGGGAAGATCTGGACAAAACCACGATGTGGGGAAAAAAGGAGCTCAGTGCTTGAAAAGATTATTATTATTATTATTTTGGTTATCACCAAGAATCCCCTTGGCCTCCTTGCAGACCGTATAGCAGAGGTTGTTCATGGAGTCGTAATTTTTAAGAGTAACTTTTCCAGGCTGTAGAGTTTATGGACTGTAGCTGACAGAACGGAGCGGGACATACCATATATTGCGATTATTCTGTTTTGAGTGCAAAGTATAGTTCTGCCTTTTGTGTGATTTTGAAAGGTTTGGGGGAGGGTTGTGTGTGTGTTTAAAAAAACATTTTGAATACACACACAACAAATCGTTATTTTAGTAGCAGGTGGAAGTGGGAGGGAGTTAAGTTGGATTTCTTTTTGAATCCTCAAATTAATACAGAGAGGTTTCCAAGAGGGGGTCTGCCCGTTGTTGAGATGACTACTGACGCCAGTGCTTTACCTATAATTGTCTTTCTCAAATTCCAGGGTTGAATTATAGCTTTCTTGAGAATAGCAAGCTATCTTTGTAGAAAACTCTCGACTTTCAGCTTCTGCAGTTTGCAGCGACTTTGTTTGGTTATAAAGCAAATGGTTTGGTTCGGTTAAAGCAAAGTATACCCTGCCATGCTAATAATGGAGTAGTCAAAATATTTATTGAAAAAGAAGAGTAGACTATTTTTAAAAAATATTGTACCTGCCATTTATTTTTTGGTGGGGGGAAGCACATTCTCCACAGCTTAACTGCCAGTGCCAATAAAAGGTCTGTTTTTAGAAATGTACTTTTTTTCAGGTTTAAAGTGCATAATTTAAAAGTATTATGTTGCCATCTTATAGTGATATGAACCCATTTACAATTGCCAATTCATTGTAACTATTATTTATTTAAGAAATGGAAAATGTAAGAATGCTTTTGGATCACAGTAACCAGAGTTCTTTTTAAAAAATCCCTATTAGTTTGTTTTGTTCCCTTGCCCTTAAACCCTTCCTGCTAACACAGTAAAAGAAAGCTCTTTGGATTTACTTAGAATAACTCTGCCAGTAAACAAACATCAATCTAACCCTTTATTCTCCAAGCCCTGTTTAGTAGTTTACCTGGTTTAAAGACAGTTTTACAGATATTTTAGTTTTTGTATGCTAACCTCTATTAATTCAAATGTTTATGGAGTTTATTTTTACCAAAGAGATGCAATTCATTATGATAAAAGTATTTCAAAATAAACTTTGTTTTATAACAACCTTGAGTGACGCATGTGTTTGCATTTTTAATAGTTGTGACTCTAGATCTTTCATTCAGTCTTCCCAAAAGATCAATTCACAAGAATGCCTTGCTTTTTTTCACGCATATTTACCATAAGGCCCAATTCCAACATAATATTCACCATAGCTATAGCCTTGGGATTTCTTTTCCCCCTTCTTTCCCCTGCAGCCCTCCAAACTTCTTCATGAAGCTGGCACAACCGAGATGACAAAGATTGTGAAACAGTATGATAGCCATCTTCACATACTTGAAGGCCTGCCATGTGGAAGATGGAGAAAGATTGAAAGAGGTCTTTAAGCAATGGATTCAAAGTACAAAAGATTTTGTGTAAACCTGATGACGAACATCATGGCTGAAACAACTCGGGAAGGAATAGTCTACCTTGGAAGATGGCAGACTCCTACATTGGAGGTTTTAAAGAGAAGTTAAAGGAGATGCTTTGGGTGTGGATTTCTTGCATCAGCAAGGGGAAGCGACTAGATGAGGCTTTGGATAGTTAGTAGGAATAGTCTACCTTGGAAGATGGCAGACTCCTACATTGGAGGTTTTAAAGAGAAGTTAAAGGAGATGCTTTGGGTGTGGATTTCTTGCAT